ACAAGTGGCAAATGCACCTGCGAAGACTACTCTTTTTATTGGCATTGTCTAAATGATCAAATTAGTCAAAAGTTGGGGCTGAGAAAAATGACATAACTAGGCAGGTCCTTAAGTGACAAGGACGATTTGAAAGTATTCATTTCTTAATTCTGAAAGCACATGGCTACCTTCCGTGAGCATGTCACCATGGCAACCGAGATGAGTAAGGTAGGGCCCAGTCCCAAAGAGCTTATAATTCCTCGGAGGGGGGTCTGTGTAGGGAGATACACCTAGTATGACTGCGTTGTAAAGCATGAAGAGGCCGTTATAATGGGGTTTATAAAAACCTTTCCAAACCTACAGTCAAGGCTCCTTTTTCTTGAGCAATTTTGGTTATGTCAGAAACAAGACTTCTCAAATAAAATAATTATCTGGCTATAGAACACAGATCCAGCCCAGAAGCAACCTTTTATCCTCTGTGGGGCCTGATGCTCCAGAGAAGCCCAGCGTGGTGCAGATACCCGTTGCCCTGTTAACCACCCAGCTGCTTCTGTCAGGTGTGGGAGCCTGGCCGGAGGAGGGCCACCCTGGACATCCAACACTGAGTTTCTTCAGGCAGGGGTCACAGACTTAACTGTGATCCAAGGATGAATTCCTGTGACATTTGGTTCAATGGGTGGCTTTGACTTTAGTGCTGAAAAGATGAAAGAATTCATATGTTCTTTGTATTTCCCTAGAAAGAAGTGTATTATTACAGACTGATTTGATCCCCCACCCCATTGGCATGTTGGAACCCTAACTCCCAGGACTTACAAATGTGACTTTGTTTGAAAATAGGATCTTTAAGAAAGTCCAATTACTTTATAAGAGTGGGTCAGTTTGGTGACCTTATATAAGAGGAGGAAATTGGGACAAAGAGACACCAAGACACGTGCAAGCAGAGGAGAGGCCACGTGAAGACACATGAAGAAGATGGCCACCAGGGGCTGGGGTGTAACTCAGTAGTGGAGCGCTTGCAGCATGCTGGAGGCCCTGGGTTTAATCCCCAGCACTGCAAAGAAAAAACTCAACAAGAAAAAAAAAAAAGGTAGCTACCAACAAGCAGGAGAGGCCTCAGGAGGAAACAAACTTGCTGACTTTGATCTTAGATGTCCAGCCTTGAGCACTGTGAGAAAATGAATTTGTTACTCATGGGCCCGTCTATCGTATTTTATCATGGCAGTACTAACAACTAATACTTGCATTAAACAAAACAGAAGTGATTGGTGTAACTGAAGTCATTGGGGTTTGCTGTTTTTCAGATCTAAAACAAGGCTTTTGGTGACATGAGATTCATGTCATAATTTTGGAGCAAGTGCATTTGAAACACCTAAAAGGTTTTCTTTTTGTCACGCAAATCCATTACGAACTCCAGTGGGCTCTAGTAAGTGCAGTAAACAAACCTCTATGACCAATGTTGAAAGAGTTGCTTGAACCCTTGAACACATCAACGTGTTTGGGTTTTTGTGGGACTGCGATGTGTGTTTGCAAAGCAGGCCCTCTACCTCCATTTCATTTGCTCTGCTTACTTTGGAGAGGAGGTCTTGGGAACTATTTACCTGGTCTGACCTTGAACACTGATCCTCCTTATCTCAGCCTCCCAAGTAGCTAGGATTACAGGTGTGAGCCACCAGTGTCTGGCACTTTGTTTTCAAGTTAAAATTTCTGTGCTGTTTTGCTACACCTTTGGGAAGGCTTTTTCTTATTTGCAAAATTGGAGAGCACATGTAGTTTGGGGTGGATGGGGCTGTTATGGAGGGAGGTGAATAGCAGGTGTGGCTGTTTGAGACCCATTCCACAGCAGCTATGGCAAGTGTCACTGCGGAGAGACATGCAAGGAACAGGATTAGCCAGGGCCAGCTGCAGTCATCTGGGAGATGTTGCTGCAGGATCCAGTTGTGGAGGAGGCGGGCAGGGAGCAGCAGATCTGAGGAGTTGGAGGTGAAATGCACAAAACTTGGTGATTGATGGCAAGTGCCCAGGTGACCTGAGATTCCAGCATGGGTGATGAAGTAGCTGTCTGGTCTGTCTGGAGGTGCAGAACCCAGGGTGTGTGTGTGGGGGGGCTAGGGGATGGAGCAGCTCACTTCTGTACATGAGCTTGAGGTTCGTGGGGACCACACAGGTTGTTCAGAAAGCAGGTGGTAACAGCTGGAGATGGAGGCGAAGCTTATTAAAATGAGAGAGAAGCCAGGCACCGGCTCACTCCTGTAATCCTAGCTACTTGGAAGGCTGAGATCAGAAGGATTAATGCTAGCCTCAGCAAACAGTTCATGAGACCCTATCTCCAAAATAACCAGAGCAAAGTGGACTGCAGGTGTGATTTAAGCGGTGGAGCCCCTCCTTTGGAATTGTGCAGCACTGAGTTCAACTCCCACCAACACAACAAAAAATGAGAGTGAAACTGGACAGAGAACTGGGTAAGCAGAAGAATGGAGTTTCCCAAAGGATAGACAGGTGGCAGAATTTGGAGGAAAAAAAAGGGATGGCATCTCTTATTTAACGCACTTCTCAAGACACGTGTAGGGCCAGGACATGCGGTGACGCTCTTTGGGGTTCTCAAGACGTGTGTAGGGCCAGGACGTGGGTGAGGCTCTCTGGGGTTCTCAAGACTTGTGCAGGGCCAGGACATGGGTAAGGCTTTTTGGGGTTCTCAAGACACATGTAGGGCCAGGATACGTGGGTGAGGCTCTCTGGGGTGGGGCTCTCTGGGGTGGGACTCTCTGGGGTGGGGGCTCTCTGGGTTCTATGCAGGTGACCCAAGTCCAGGCCTTGAGAAACACTGCATTTCAACAAAAAGAGAAATGCTGAGAGCCACGCCATGTCAAGAGGGGGCTGGTAAAATCCAGACTGAAAGGTACCTACTGGCTGGGGGATTCAGTGGGCAATGGAGACCTCTGCGACAGAACTTCCAGCAGAATCCGAGAGATGTGAGAAGCCAAAGACAGATGGGCAGAGAAAGTGGGTTTGGAGGGCTTTTGTGTTGGTTTGTAAAACCTAGCAGAAAGTTCAGCATATTTAAAAACAGAGCAAGGAAAGGGAGATTTGAACACAGAAGGGAAACTGAGAGGAGGCAGTGGGGAACAGCTAGGAAGGCCAGGTGAGATTGGAATCGGGTATGGGGTGAAGGCACAGCTGGAGCAAGAAATTGTGGCAGTGAAGAGGCTAGGCAGCCAGGGTGCTGCCCGAATGCCTGGTTACCTTCTTGATGAGGCAGGTTGCAGACAAAAGGCTACTTTCATTAAAACAGTGCTCAGGACAGCCTTGCAAAATGGTTAGATCTTAGAAATGACCCAGGGAGACAAAAGAATGAATCAAACATACCTCTGGCAGCAAAGTGCCTCTGTCACTGGTTTCCAGGCCTTCACTACATTCCTGCTTCCTTCATGAATGCTTTCCCACAAGACTTCTCCCTGAGGTTCCTGGATGCTCACATCTCAACACCGCATGAGGAGAAGGGTTTATGGTGCTAAGGGTCTGGGGGCTCTTTGCTGGGGAATTCCCTCAAGACAGAGTGCAGAGCATTTCTCTACTGCTCTCCTCACTTGCCTCACTATTCCCCCATCATTCCTCCCTCACACTCATTTCCCTTTATCCTTAATATAGGCTGAACATTCCTTAACCTAGGGCCTTAGCGCACGAAAGATAAATGCTCTGCCACCAAGTATATCCCTAGTCCAGAAACTGGAAATTTTTATAGCACTGACATGATGCTTAACTGGTTGCAGTCTATGCAAATATCCCCAAATCTGAAGAACTCTGCAATCTGAAGCAGTTCTGGTCCCAAGCATTTTGGATAAGCGGTACTCAGCCTGTACTGCATTTTCCCACTTGCCATCTATCTATTCACTGTTACATGGTCACCTCATAAAGTTAGACCAAAACAGTAAGTTGACTTACTTGGCAGGACTGGGGGGTTTGAACTCAGGGCCTCATGCTTGCCTGACAGGCGCTCTACCACTTGAGCCATGCCTCCAGCTCGTTTTTAATCACTGATTGTTCATTGAAGGAGAAATGAAAGAAACCTTAACTTTGACCCAATAAAACTAACCTCAAGAGTGTGTCATTTTAAGCAAAACCTTTCCTTTTCATTAACCAGCCTACCTCAATAATACTGCTAAAGTGCAAAAGACAGGAAAAATAAGTTGGAAAAGAACTTTTCTCTTAAATCCTCTTATGGGAGAGTTAAAAATACCTAGAGCTTCTTCATTCTTCAAAACCAGCTGGCCTCAAGCCCATGATCCTCCTGCCTTAGCCTTCCACGCACTGGAATACAGGAGTCACCATCGTGCCTGGCTCATTTTTTTTTTTTTAAAGACAGTGACATACAATTACTCGGTAAGAACCAAGCAACATGATATATGTGACAGTAATTTTAGTTATAATTTTAATGACGGTGTCTGATTTTCTTATAAGCAGCAAGCAGTGAGCCCCTGAATACAAAGAACTTCTCACAGACATAAGCAGACTAATAATTCTGAACTCATCTCAAATTTCCATAGTCTACATAAACAAACTTCAATTAGTCAGATGAATGTGAAAAAGAAATAGTGATTTCCTAACTCCAGGAAAAGAATTATTTGTGAAATCCAAATTAAAACAGTATCATCATAAAGATGAAGATTTGCTAGTCAATGCTAATGTATAGATCATAAAGCCTGACTTTTAAATAGTCAAAATACTGTGTTTTGAAAAACAAGTCAAGAATATAAAATACTTAATGACAATGTAAGGCCCACATTAAGAACTTACTTACATCATTTATCTGACTGCACAGGCATGACTTAACAGTGAAAATTTTAGACTGGACATAAAACCCGAAAGACTGACATTTCACTTAGATCAAAACTCGGAAAGTGTTACATGAACAGAATTCAATGCATGTGATAAAACAGTGCAAATCACCTTAAAATGTCCTTGGCCAACAGACTTGCATTTACAGAATCTCCTTGAATACATAACAGGTAATGCTGCAATGAAGATGTTTTTACAGTATTTATTAAGATAATAACTTTATAAATTGAAAGACTCAGAGGCACATAGTTTAAAAGGCCAACACCATGGGAATAATGAAGTCAACACAGAAAAGAAAGAAGGTATGAACAGTTACAATCAGTACAAGATTTTTTAAAGCCACACTCCCCCAATGAGCACATCATAGGAATCATCCTTCAAAATTACCATGATAAAAAGTTATTTCCTTCAAAGAAAAATAATTCTTTCCACCTACCGAGCCTAGAAAATCCTATTTACAATTAACTGTCGTGTATTTCATCAGTATTATGGCCTCTCTATTCTGCCATTAGAAGTATTGAAAACTTTATACCTATTGTATTTACAAATGCACATAATATTTAAATTTGCTCTTCATTGAGAACAACTGAATATATACTTAATCAAATCACAATACAAATGCTTTAGTGTCGAAAACACATTTTGTGGGAACAGGTGTATGGGAAGAGGTGTATTTAGAAGAATGTTGTTTCTGAAGGATCACTAGGCCAAAAGTCTGATAAAACTCAAGGTAGTCACAAAAACAGGTCTTTGTTGATGAAGAATTTAATTTATTTCTGTTTTAACTGGATGTTCTGGGCTTCTTCAGTCAACCTTCACCACACTGTATATTTTAGTAACAAACCAAAAGCATGCAAAGAAGCCAATTGTTCCTAGAAAAAAAGAACAAAAGTAAGTCCCTTTTCAAAGGAAGTTTGTTAATTTACACCAATACAGACTTAAAATGACTGGTCCATTTAAAAAGGCACAAAAGTATAAACACACCAGAAAGAAACACTCCATAGACCATGAGCTTTTCTGAAAAATATAAAACCACTTCAAATCAAATTTCTTACAAAAACTAATAGAATTTTTGTATTGTAATGATCACCTAAGCTTTCTGTAATAGGAGTTATTTTCCTTACTACATAAAAGACTGAATTAAACAAATGAAAAGGATCCCACATTTTCTTTCTTATTTAAGAATATTTTGTCACAGAATGGAAGTGCTACTAAAATTTTTTCCAAAAAAGTGGTACTCTAAATAAGACTGCCAGGTTCACAGATTAAATGGGGATGTTTTCTAAATATAACAAAAGAGAACATCAAAGGGGTTGAGGAATTATCTCAGTGTGGCTAATAAGTATGACTAGAATTTAAATTTGTTTTTTTCTGATTTCAAGTGTAGAACTCTTGTAAACTGTATTTAGACTTATTACATACAAATTCAGAGACTTTGTTTTGCAAAAGAATATATACTAAGTTGTAAAATTGCCCAACATATTTTCAAAATAAATTGAGAAAGCATTTTTCCAGAAACTCCCTGGGAAATAGTCAATAGGCTGGGGAAAAAACACAGACAGCAGAGGACAGATGTGGTCCCCGTTTAAGGTTTATATTTAATGTCCTGACTGGTTTTCCTGAACACTGTTTAAGAAAAGTATTAAAGACGACTTTCTAAATTGACAGACCAAATGTGGGACATTCCTTTGGGAAGTTCTGTTATGATACTCATTCTTCCACTGGACATGCACTGAGGACATGGTACATGCAAGGCTTTGTGTATGTTTTGGAGGACACACAGATATATACCTTTTAGATTTTCTTAAAGGTTTGAGAAGAAGCTGGGGTTAATTTCACAAAACTAATAGTGAAAACATAAATACCTTAATCACCATCCTGGGGGCAACCCTATGGGACACAATGTACATACTAAAAATGGTATTTTTCCTTAGGTTACATATTTTCAAAAATTATTTATTTACATGTGCATACATTGTTTGGGTCATTTCTCCACCCTGCCTTCAAATTTTTTTTGTGAAATGGATTGACTTAAAATTGTGTCAGTATGGAATTCAAAGCAAATACAGCCATAAACACACTTGAGGAAAAAAAGAGCATTAGAGTGCTCCCCACTATCTCAACAGAATCCATCCACCAAATGAAGTACATGGAAGGTTATTGGTTCAGTGTTTGATTCAATTTGATAGGCTCCGAGATTCAGATTACCAAACTGGTTTAATGAGTTAGTGATTGTTAAGCTATTATTTCTACATATACACTTATGGACACAAACACAGAGACACAAAAACAGTAATTCCTTGTTTCATAGGCCATTACTATTTTCTAAGCCATTTATTAAGATGTATGGCTGTGTTTCTAAATATGTTACACAGCACCAAGATACGTACCCAACCCCACCACCTCTGGTGCCCCACCTGGAAACAGAGCCTGTTACACACTGGAACCTCAGAAGACACTTCACAGACTACCTAGCGCTCTTCAACCAACAGGCAAGTAAAACAGTTCTAATTTTAAAAAAAGAGCCAATGACTCCTATCTCTACTCCTAGCAACTGGGAGGCTGAGATCAGGAGGGTTGCAGTTAGAGGCCAGTCCAGGCAAACTGTCTGTGAGACCCCATCTCCAAAATAACCAGAGTAAAATAGACTGGAGGTGTGGCTCAAGTGGCAGAGGGCCTGCTTTGCAAGCTTGAAGTCCTAGTGCAAACATGTCGCAACAACAACAACAACAACAAAATAATAGCTTTTTCTTTTGGCTATTACAATTCCTTATAACATGCAACACAATCTTAAATAAAGTTTTAGGCGTACATTTTGTGCAATATTACTTTTCTTTTTCCCTGAGATTGCTCTGCAGCCCAGGCTGGCATGGAACCCACAACCCTCTCACCTCAGTCTCCCAAATGCTGGACATGGTGCCCAGTTCAACATTACTTTTTGTGATAAAGGTCCCATAATTTTCTTATTTCAGTTCATTCACTTACTCTGCAACTTCTTACCAAGGGCTTTAGATACAGAAAACTGTTATCAATTCAATTTGATGTGGCTCTAAAATTGCAATTACAAAATTTGAATATACATATATAAATGTCAATCCATATATAAATGTCACTTATATATAAATTATATAAATGCATTATATCCCATCAGGTACTTGAATTTAAAGTAGAGATGAAGATGAAACTTTTTAGTTTAAAAAACTTCCAGAATAGGAAGTGTCCTATGCTTGTCATTTTTGATGTCACCCACTTTCAGCCTCACCTGACATCATGTCCTCAATGTCAACCCTACTACTAAACTTAGCTGACAACAGCTTTTTGCCTATTTCTGTAGGAGAGCAAAAGAAAGCAATGACACCCCTCAAAGGTTAACACAAGGCATACTGAAGATGCTTACCCAGGTACCCTGTCCTTATAGCACAACAAATCCTGCTTCACCCTCTTCTGACTTGTTTATCATCTTTGCTTCACTGAGCTGCAACCCACTGGTGGGCACACCAACTGATGCTTACTTATATTGAGGGTTAAATACAGGAGTACTGAATAGTATGGGTTTTGTAAAGGGAAAATAAATTATTTGTCTAAAAACTTACTAAAATAATCTTTTATTCTTACCTGTAAAAAGAAAGAAGATCAAAACCATTATCATGGTATAACCAAAATACAGAATTGTACTCGCTGTTCCGGTGATCTGCAGTTTCGAAAAGAAATAGTGTATTGCATATACTAAGAAATAAACTGCAGTAAAGCCGCTGGTAAGGAATGAGCGCCACTGCCAATGATAATCCTAGGGAAAGAAGAGAGAAGGTAAAGAGCAAGAGTTACTCTAGAATGTCAGGTAACATGTAGCTGAGCAAAGTTACAGACCAAGTTCCCCAAGCGCAATTTTTGCCACCAGTTCTAGTCACTGGCTCCTACTGAACTTTGCAAGTTTCCCACCTCAATAAAGGTACCAGGAAATACCTGATAGCTGGTGCCACATGCCTAGCTACTTGGGAGGCTGAGATCAGAAGATCGTGGTTAGAGGCCAGCTTGGGCAAACAATTCTTGAGACTCCATCTCCAAAATAACCACAGCAAAATGGGAATGGGCTGAAGGTGTGGCTCAAATGGTAGAGCGCCTGCTTTGGAAGCGTGAAGTACTGAGTTCAAACCCTAGTACCACCACCACAAAAAAAAAAAAAAAACAAAAAAACCCAGAAGTACCCCATATCTGTTATGGAGCTACTTAAAAACTAGATAAAAACATGTATGAATAATAATGCATTAGGTTATATTCCAAAATTTATGATTCTCAAGGAAAAGCAATGAACAAGACCTTACTTACATGGCTCAAAATTAATGTTCATTATATTAAAATCTAGTCAAGGGCTGACGAAGTAGCTCAAGTGGTAGAGCGCCTGCCTAGCAAGTGCGAGACCCAGAGTTCAAGCCCGAATACAACCACCAAAAAAAAAAGAAAAAATAATTTCTAGTTATTAATAATATATTTAAACAACGTAAGAGATTAAAACAGCTCTTCTTGCCTTTACATTGAGTCGTTTATAGGTTAACAGGAGATCTTTTAAAAGAGGACACTTCAAGAATTGTCCCATCATTTGGAATATGTGAAAACACTGAATTTTAAAAAGCACATGATTAGAAAATCCCAAAGAATCTAGACACACACATACACACACACACACACACACACCCCACCACAGCTAGTAAGTGAACTCAGCAGTTTCAGGTTATAAGATCTACACACCAAAACCAGGGTGTATGTGCCTGTGCATGTGTGTGTGAGCATTTGTAGTGCTGGGGATTGGAGCCAGGGCCTAGCACATGTGAGGCAAGCTCTCTACCAGTAAGCTACTCCCCCATCTCAGTTGTGCTCTCACATACCAGCAGTGGACAACCGAAAGAGGACATACAAATATCTAGGAATAAATTAATCAAGGACATGAAAGACTTACATGCTGAAACTAGAAAACATTACTGGAAGGAATTACAAAAGATCTAAATAAATGGAAAGACACCCACGTTTGTAAATTGGAAGACTTAGTATTGGTATGATAGTGGTTTATAGTGTCAATATAATCTCTATCAAAACTTCAAAGATCTCTTTTACAGAAATGAAAAGCCAATCTTTAAATTTCATATAGCATTATAAGGGGCCCCAAATAAATCAAAATAATCTTGAACACAAAGCTGGAGGACTAACCCTTCTCTATTTCAAAGCTGGGCAAAGGACTTGGATAGACTTTCTTCAAAAGAAGATATACAAATTGTCAATCCACTCAAGATGTTTGACATCATTAGCCTTGGGAAATGCAAATCAAATGAGATGACATTTTATATCTAGGATAGCTATAATAACAAATTAAAAAGATACAGAGAAAACAAATGCTTTGTGGCAAGGATTTAGAAAAATTGGAACCTTTGTATATCACTGATAGTAGTATAAAATGTGGTTATTCAAAAAGTTAAACAAAGGTTGGGCACGTGTGATGGCTCATACCTATAATCCCAGCTACTCGAGAGGAATGAAGTTTCAAGCCAGCAAGAACAAGCGTTAGAGACCCTATCTCAAAAGTAAGTCAGCATGGTGATTACATGATTACATGTCTAATCCCAGCTATGTGGGAGTTGGAGGTAGGAGGATCACCAACCAAGGCTAGTCAGGCAAAAGCCTGGACTCTATCTGCAAAACAAACTAAAAAACCCCCAAAAGGACTGGGGATATGACTCAAGCAGTACAGCACTTGTCTAGCCAGCCCTAAGCCCTGAGTTCAATCCCCAGTACTACAAAAAAAAAAAGTTAAAGAACTGCATATGACAAAGCAATCCTACTCCTCAGTATATAGTCAACAGAACTGAAAAAATGTAGTCAAATACTTGTTTATGAATGTTCATAACAGCATTATTTACAATAGCCAAAAGGTGGAAACAACACAAATGCCCATCAATGGATGAATGTATAAGCAAAAATACAATGGAATATTACTGAATTATTAAAAGTATTAAAATAGGCTATAGCATGGATGAACTTTGAAAACATTCCACCAAGTAAGGCACCAGACACAAAAGGCCTTGTGCTATATGATCCCATTAAGAAGCATCCAGAGGGGTGAATTCAACTGTGACATATGGTTAAGAACTTTTGTAAATGTCACAATGTACCCCCAGTACAACAATAATATAACAGAAAAAAAA